TCCCCTTCCTTTAAGCTTGGTTAGGTATTTGGGGCCTACTGCTTACAAAGCATCCATTCTACTGCAGAGTTATGGTCTCCCATAAATTTTAGATTTCTTTATAATTTTGAATGCAGAGCAAATTCTGAAGAAAAGTCCCACATATCTGACATTTTCTTAATTTGCATAACCCTTTGATGAATTTAAGGTCAATACATTGCATTGTAGCCTCAGAAATAATCTACAGAACCACTTTAAAACCACCTATATTAGCTATTCTAAGGTCTTAAAGGATTAGGGTAGATGGTAATCCCCAACTAATACTTTATAGCTTGGTCACCTAGAGATTATTAGCCCATTTGTTAGTAGGGAACAAAGACTATGTTCATATTTGCTTTCATATTTTAAACATCCAGCAACATAAGACTTGAATCCTCTGCCAATTATTAAGCCAAATAAAAAGTAAAAACTAATCGTATCCTACCAATACAGGGGAGGAGTAGTGGGTGGTGGTGTTTATAGTAGAATATGTTTGATGAAGAGGGTGTATTTCCTGATAACAAGTTCAGACCTTCACACACAATCATGCTGCCACTAGCCTTGAACTCTGATTTGAGTGGCCTCCCTGGATCAGGGATGATGTAGAAATGCTCCTACAACTGTTGGATGTGATGCGTATATTGGCTTAGTTCCTGGGGTTTTAATCTGGAGTTCAAGGGATGTTGATCAAACATGAGTTTTTTACCCATGCCAAGGACAGTAAAAACTTCTCAAAATGTTAGGAACACATTTCTGTTTCCTCCATACTAGATATATTTACTATAGGAGAGATTGCATCATTTGTATGTTTCCATAAAATCCTAGTTTTCTTTGCAATAACATTTCTATCTTTCACTTCTTGTTAGTTTTTTATTCAAGCAGTTGGAGACACAATAATATATTTGTGCCAAAATGTAATTTGACATGCAGTCATCTCCTGTCCTTTTGGTGAAAACTGGAAGAGATTTATCACTGTCTGTGGCCAATTCCTTGTTTTTGTTCTCTTTCACTGGATTACTTTAGAAAACCGTTGAATACGTAGCATTATAAAAGACATAATATAATGCCAACTATTTGCTTTGATAGCCTAATTAAAACTTGAGGTAAGATTGAACAGTTTAGGCCTGATTTTTAATTTATTTTATTAATTTATTTATTAAATTTGTCCCCCGCCCATCTCCCCCCAATGGGGGACTCTGGGCGGCTCACAGCATGTTAAAACAATAAATAAATATACAATTAAAACCTATAACAATACACATTCACAAAAAT